AATTGGTAAGATCAGTTTTCTTCCCGTATAATCTGTATCAGCCGTAGAATCAGAGGATGTCGTGGGTCCTTCGCTCAGCTCTTCTATTTTACAGTTGAAGAGACAAATGCCCCATCAGTGGCCAACTCAGAACCTGAGGCAAGATTTCTTTATTGCTAGTTATTCTCTCCAGTTTGTGATGCTGGTGACCTAAGATGCAGAAGCGTAGAACTTTACAGCTGCAGGGACCATAGGAGTCTTCTGAGAACGGACCCTGGGGTTACATTCAGATTAGCTTCAAGGGTGCAGGTGAAGGTGACTTATCTGCGACGGTCCTTATTTTGGGGGGTTGCTGATTCAGTTTAGGTTCAGGGAGTTTATGGGCATCATTACTAGAACATACCAGGTGTATTAAATTACCCCGAGCAGCCTCCCCCGGGTCTCATTTCTAGACGTACTCTGCTCCAGCAGCTGCTTCTGGAGGCCATGGGGCCGCCTCAGTTCCCGCGCCCAGCCCAAACACCATTATTAGCTTGGTTTTTGGCCCTGCTCTCCTAAATGTTTACTATTAATTTTGGTCAGGCTAGTCCTGTCCCAGTTGATATTTTAATGTTATCAACTCTTAATTTATCTGTCTTCTTGAGCAATTGTCATCTGAGTGGATTATATGTGTGGACCGCACTGCGATGAGCAAATTTCTGCGAATTTGCTCATTTCACTGTCAACTTTTATTAGGGATTTTTAGTGCAGAATGATTTGAAGACAAAACCAGCACCAACAGCTAGCATTGGGAACAATGGTATATACAGTTATTTCTGCTATAATGCTTGCTTTGTGTTACTTCCATTTAACTGAGATCTGAAATGCAGTGCTTTGTCTGTGTTCTCATTGTGAAATTGGGTGAAAGTGAGAGCCAGAAAACAAACTGGTATACTTTTATTATTATTACTATTATTTGGTAATTATACTGTAGATGGAAAATTACAAAACTGCTGTTAATGAGACAGAAACAGTGTACTTAGCATCTGGGCTGACTGTTAAGTTGACAGTGTTTTGACCTCTGGATCAGTGGGTTTCATGCTGTCACAGGCTTTCGGTCTGTTTGAAATTTAAGCATAAGTAGATGCTATATTTACTCACATTTCCCTAGCCTTCCTCATCTTTCCCCTTGCTACTTTTCTCCCTAAAACATGAGTTGAAGCACATAGAATTATTTTCCTTGTTACTCAGATAATTCCTCCTGTATACAAAGAGGGTGCCGAGCCCTAGGGCTATCTGAATCCTTACCAGGGCCCCAGTGTACCCCGTTCCCCCTTCCTCACAGCCTGCGTTGGAGGCCTAGCCTTCACTCTCTGTGCCAGGATTGGGCAGAGAAGGGTGCAATACAGGTAGCTGTCAAGTATGAGTGTGATTACTTTTCAGCTTTATTTTCAGCTTTCTCATGTTACCTGAGGATTGAAAAATAATATTTTACTTTAAGAAGTAGCAGTTCTCTGAGCAAATGAGTCTCTGCCCCAGATTAGAAGTTAACCGCTTATTACCTAAGTACTGCAAACGTTTTCCATTTTCAGATGACATGAGTAAACTGTCAAAAGACACATGAGACTATTTAAGTGCATTTTATTATACTGTTTTCTGTTCAGAAGGCAGGTACTGTCATGTTAAACTGCTTTATCCTGTCGAAAGTAGCCTCAACTTGTATAGTAGAGAGTTAGAGTTTTAAGATACATTTTTGTTTCTTTGATTTAAAGTAACGAAAAAAAGCACAGTCAGATTCTTGTAGACCACAGAGAAATCCTGGCCTGCCCCCATCCTCAAATGCATCTCCCCAGATCCAGAGAACGTGTGTCATTACTGTGAATTCCCAGTATCCCAGAGAAGCTAATGGCATCTGCTCCTCTGTGCTGTGAAGATCCCTCACCGTTGTCTCAGGAAGCAGAGAGGACACATTATCTAAAACAGGGGCGGTGGATAAAACTGGAGGGAGAGCAATTAGGTAAACCCTAAAACTATTGCTAGCGCACAAGTATCCAGGAAGAGAACGTCTGCAGTCCAGACAACTTGCTTGTTCTCAAGGTGGAATGGAGCGGGAACAGGTAAACGGAAACGTGGGAGTCAGCACAGAATCTGCACACAAATACACATGCATCCGTGTGTGCAAATTAAGGAGTAGAACTTAATCTGATGGGATTTTCCCCAGGGACTGAATTCTCCCATTTCAGCAATATGGAAGCACCGTGATTTGGGGCTGGAGCCTACTCTGGCTCCCACCCTCGCCTCTGCTGCTTTCTGTACCTACAGTGGCTGAGGCGCCTCGGCCCATGGAAGTGGCCGAGTGCAGATTCCTGCAGCTCATCAGTGGAGGAGGGGACAGGGAGGGCGGAGGCTGCCGCCTGCTCTCACAGAGCCCTGGGGCCACAGGGAGCGGGCCCCCCCCCCCCCCCCCCGCCGCCGTGCCCAGGTCAAGGGGCTGCCTGGTGGCCTGTCCTTTGGTGTGCCGGCAGCTTGTGTCTCGCT